ATGTGCAACGTGGTCATTTTACCGTACCTTTGTCGAGAAAACACTCTAGCGCCCAAACGGTGCAAGACAGTAGAACGGACAAAATTCCCAAAGGGATCTACTTTCACGAGTGACCCCTTGGAGACCACAAAAAAATATTTTTTACCTACTTTTTGCACCAACTTTTATTTCTTTGTTACCCCCTTTCACCCACTTGGGGGTGGTTGCCAGGATTTGCACCAGGCGTTTCGTTGACCAGGACTGACCCCTAAGATACAGTGGAATTTGTAGACCTCGAGCTCATCTCCTTACCCGGACGACAAACAGACACGGGAGCGGTTGCATAAGCCTGCTTTAATGCTTTTTTAAAAGCAGAAGGGCTGGCTAAAAATGAGCGTTTAACGTTGACCAGCCCAAAATTTGAACTACTTTGAACACCTCGGCCACTTTCAGTCGGAGCTCCGTCATTGTCTTCACCACGCTCCGCTACCAGCACGAGCCGGGCCTCGGTGGATTAGCCTTTTATTGCAGCCTACCAGATAGGGTTGCAGACCTCTGGCTCAACTCCTTCCTTTTACACGGACGACAGACGGACACGAAAGCGGTTGCATAAGCCCGCTTTAATGCTTTTAGGCTGAGCGATTAGCGAAGCCCATTACTCCACTGACCGAAAAAGTTTCATTCTGTTTGTGTTTTTGTTTGTTTGTGTGTTTGTCTGTCCGCACGATAACTCGAGAAGGAATTGAGATAGCGATCGGTGCATTTCAGGGTCGTTTTGCGTCGTTTTGTACCGTCAAAGTGTCTAATTCTGGACCAGCAGGGTAAATCCGGACACTACTTTTTTGCATTTTACACCAAATTACACAATGTAGGTTCATAATTTAGATAGATACTTTTCCGGGAGGTTCTAGAGATTTAACTAATTAGTAGTTTCACATTTTAGAGTCGCCCAGAGCAGTGCAATTTGAATAATAGGACCCGACCAGTACACACACTGTGAAGCGGTACTTTTAATGCGTGTGCCGCACAGCACCAATGCTAAGCCACGGTCACTAGATTCAGCTTGAACGTCACTAGGCTGGAGTCGAAAAATTTTAGTCTACTGCGGGCTTCTGCGCGTAAAATTGATTGTACGGTATTTCACTCGATCTGTCACTTACAAATCTTAGTTAAAAATGCATTAAATTTTCAATTTTGACAAAGTCCTGTGAGGTAAAGATTGTTGTACACATCCTTATGGCGTATTTAGCGAAACCAATGTCCTTCTACTAAAATAGCACTGACTTTTGCAGAAGTTGCTTAACTTCTGACATGGACCAATTTTGCCTCGAAAATTTCAATATCACTCTGGTTCCGAAGTTACGGGTTGAGTTGGTGTGTACTGGCACGCAGCTGCAGTGCAGTATTGGCATATCGACCTGTTCTACTGCCATTTAATAGCAAAAATAGGGACTGTCCGGATTTGCCCCGGCTTCGGGTTTAAATCCGGACGTGGTTTCAGAGGCTTGTGCAGGTGAACTGGCTCAAAGAAAATTTCCTCTCCAGATGGAAAATATGTATCTTGGCGCCTAGTTTCTAGAATCCGCTGGAATTTTTCATACCCCTACCGGTTTTAGAAATATTGAGGAAAAACGGTCAAATTTGTCCGGAATATGACACTTTGACGGTATCATAAAAAGACAGATCGAGTTCGAAGATGAGCATTCTAGTTCAGAAATTGGCTTTTAAAAAAATCAAAAACTACAGGTCGCAAAATGTATTTATATCTAATATTTTGATATGGGTTCCCAAGGGGTAACTCGTCAAAGCAGAGCCCCACGGGCGAAATTTTCGTCCGTTTTTCGAACTACCTTGTACCGTTTAGGTGCTAGGGGGCATTTCTTGACAAAAAAGAGGTGAAAATGATCAAATGGTCGATTAAAACGTTAAAGAGACTTCATTTCGAAAAATGGTACAGACACTCCTATTACCCCGTTTCGGGTGTCAGCGCCGCAGGCCTAGCTATATGTGCGCCACACTGCAAAAAATTATGACAGGAAAAATGACAGCATCGCCGCCAATTAATTTTCCAGGAACGTCTGTTATTCGAATAACAGCATCGCTGTAATTTCAATGATTAAAATTTGGTACAGGTAGCAATGTACAGGACCACTGTACAAGCAAAAGCGGACAAAACTGCCTACAGTGGAGCCGTCTTCGTACACTGTACTGTGTAAAACCTCGGCTTTCCGGTGCTACAGCAACACTGTACTCCGCGTTCAGTACCTAGGTGCAGTGACTAAGAGCGGCATCTACAGTAACGCTGTAGATCGTTCCGTATCAGACTCAGATTTTTTTTGCAGCGCAGGCGCGTCGCAGCGTAACAGTGTTTCGTGAGATATCGCGAAGCCTGTTACGCGAGACGTGGTCTGGCGTACGTATAGCTCGTTTAAAAGTAGAAGGCCGGGCTGAAAACAGTGTAGATGATGGGTAATATTTTCTGAAAGCCCTGAAAATGTTTGTGAAAACTAATCCCCTTGACGTTGCTCCAGTAAGTGATAATTTTCTTCGTGTAGATGAACTACTTACTTTAAAATCTGTTTCTGTTCATAATGCACTTCACCGTATGAGTGCCTCAAATCTGTGGGTTTCCGCGTTGGCATAACTTAAAGTTTCGAGCACTGATTGCCTACTGCTTTTAAAATCAGACCAAAAAACATTGGATACTTCCTGCTCAAGATTGTCTCCAGTTGAGATTATTAAAAAAATAGCGTCTGCGATTATTACGTCCTCAGTTTGGATGTATTTACGGTCCGTTTGAGGTTGGTAAATATACCTCCACAAAATCTGGCGCTAATTGTCGCCGCTGTGATTCACATCCTCAGGAATAATCAAACGAACCACAAAATAAACGCATGCCCGTATGCCTGCGTCACCTCTACACTGACAAACTAAGTTATCAACTGTAAACACTTGTAAGTGTCAAACAGAGTTGTTGTGCCTGTGCTCTTGCAAGTGTTTAAGGATTGTCTCGGCCCCGACTGTGTAGAGCGGGACATGAACAGCAATGCAGTGATTCCAAACCAGCAACGTACCCCGCGCCCGCGCTAACTCTATGACTAGCTATATGTTCGCCAGACCACGTCTCGCGTAACAGGCTTCGCGATATCTCACTAAACAC